GTGTGCAGTGGAGGGTGCGGGATGGAACGCGTCTGTGTGCTCCCCTGCCCTGGGGCCCCAGGCAGGCGTTATCGGTCTCCGCCTCTGTGCCTCCATTTCCCCTCTGTAAAAACTGCCATCGAAATACCTGCCCCGCGGAACGGTGAACGAACGGGAGATAAAGGGGCACGGAGTGGGCTGTCTGCGGTTTCCCGTGGAGTCCTGCCTCTGGGCTTGTGGGGACTCCCTGCGGTGGCACTCGGGGCACACATAGCACTGTTGGTGACCGCTGTCACGACATGCTCACTCATCCGCCAGGTGCGTGTCTGTCGCGGTCCTACTGCGTGTCATCACGCTCTGGGGGCTGGAGATTCAGCACCAGGCAGACTCTGCCTAGAGACGATGTTCTGGGGCAGGAGGCAGACAAGACGTGGTGGCCATGTCGGGACTCTGAGATGGAGGAGGGCAGAGCCGGGCCAGGGGATGGGGAGTGCAGAGTGGGGGCACCCCAGTTTTAACGGGGCCTCCCTGAGAAGGTGACACTGGAGGAAGTGAGACTGCTGTGGGGTATGCAGTGAACAGTGTTCCTGCAGATAGAACAGCCAGCGCAGAGTCCTTGAGGCCAGAACTGGACATTCAAGGGGCAGCAGGGACACTCATGCCTGGCATAGAACAGTCAAGGGGAATGAAGCAGGACATGAGGGCCCAGGAGGAGAGGGTCCAGGTCATGCAGGGCCAGGGTGCCATGTTGGCACTCTGTATTTTACTCAGAGAGGACTGGTTGTAGGGGCAGGGGCAGAAGCAGAATCTGGGGGAAGTCATGGGGGTCAGACCTAGGTGGGAGCAGCAAGCTGGCCGAGATGGTTGGGTTCTGGGTACATGTTAAAGGTGGAGCGGATGGGACTTCCTGCCTGATTGTTTGGGATGGACAACAAGAGAGGGATCACCCCAGGTGCAGGGCTGAGCACTGGCCTGTGGGCGGGGGCGCCTCAAGGGAGGCAGATTTGATGGCGACAACGAGGAGGGAAGCAGGAGTCCCCTCGGGGGTAGGTCAAGCTCGAATTACGTATTAGGTGCGCAGACGGCTGGCTGTAGTTGGAATTCTGGGGAGAAGTCCAGAATGGAGACACAACTTGGGGATGGTCAACGTGCCGTTGGTATTTTTAAATTGAAACTAAGAACCTTAGTTCTAGCCACATCAGAGAGGGTCCAGAGACTGGGTGTTGGGGGCCTCCAACACCTACAGGTTGGGGAAATGTGAGGAAACGGTATAACAGTAACACAGATGTAGAAGGAACTTCCAGTAAAGCAGAAGAACCGACAGGGTGTGGTGTGACCAAGCCGAGAGAGGAAAGCGTTTCTAGAAAGAGGGGTCAGTGCTGCTGAGGGACCAGGTCCGGTGGGGTGTTCAACGTGGCAGACGTGGGAACTTTGACAACGGTAGTTTCAGGGAATGGTGCCAGGGAAAGCCAGTTGGAGTGGGGCTGAGAGAGAGTGGGAGTAAAGGAATTGGGGGTTGCAGATCAAGGCAGCTCATTCCAGAGACTTTGTTCTGTAGGGAAGCAGCGGACTGGGTGTGTAGGCTGAAGGGGCCATTGGGTCCAGGGGCTTCTCCTGTAGATGCTGGAGGCCCCCATCTGTCTGTTCATCCCTCCATCCACCGTTCTTCCATCCACCATCCATCCATGCACACATCCACTCATCTGATGTGCATTGAGACTCTTCTCTGAGTTCAACAAAGTGCTGTGCTGAGTTTAGGGATATGGGAGCAGAGAGTGAGTGAGTGGCCCTCGTGCTCTGGGAATTTCCAGTCCCCTGGGGAGCCAGATATGTTCACAAGCTGCTCTGAAACAAGGCCAGCTGAGACAAGGCCCCCGCCTAGCAGGAGGAGTCTGCTCGGCTCCTGCCGCAGAGCCCCAGCCTCTCTTCCACTCTGGCCGCAGCAGGCCGAGGAAGAAGGATGAAGAGGAAGGTGACAGCAGTGGCCGTGCTGCCCTCTCTGTGTCAGGCACTTCACGCCCTCAGGTGCACCTGAAACCCTCTGCTTTTCCGTCCAAGGCTGGTCCAGGGGCCCTCAGCCCGAGCTGCACGGCAGAACCTCATGGGGAAGTTTGATCGTAAATCCGCTCAACTGCCCTGGGGAGGGGTCCAGGCGTGGGATGTGCAGCCAGGGTGCGGGCCACTCACCTGAGCACAGCCACCTCCAGCGTGGATGTGGAGGAGACACACAGGGGTGATGAGAATCTCCCCCAGGACCCACCAGATCACACTAGCTAGGTTTTATTCTGCGTTTCTCTGTCCGGGCACGGTGATGACCTCTTGCAGATGAGGGAATTTGTTCAAAGACAATGAATGGTCACCCAGGGCCACCCGGTGGCTAAGGGGAGCCCTCCCTGTGTATCCCAGGCTCTATCTAACTCTGCCCCTGAGCTGTGAAACCTCACACCCCCCAGGCCCCCCATGAAGGCCCACAGTCATGCGTTCAGGAGCAGAGGTGAAGATCTGAGAGCCAGGCAATCTGTGCTGCTATCCCCGCTCCTCCTGTATCTGCCTGACAAGTCACTCGGTCCCTGTGCCTCAGTTTGACCAGCTGTGAAATGGGCGCTATTGATCGCTTGGTGGGTTGGAGGGGGATTCAGTGAGTTAGTGTGCAAGGCAGAGAGCTCTCTATGCTCAGATGTGCTGATTTATTATCACGTCCCAAATGGCCCCGGATGCCCCATCTCCCAGCTGCCTCCTGCCCACCCAGACCCCTTCAGACACGGGCACTCGAGCCCCAAACCCACCACCCTGCCATCCCACCGTTGTGTTGTAGGTTCCCTGGCGGTCTGGGCTCTGCGCTCCAGCCCGGGGAGCCGCGGCGGTGGGAGTGGCGGCTGTCACTAGTCCCGAGGGGACCCAGGGAAGAGGGTGCTGGGGAGGGGTAGGGGTGGGGTGGGAACGAGCAGATAGAAGAGCCCCTCCTTCCTGAGCCTTGGAAGAGGGGGGAAGTGGGGGCCCTGGGAAGATGTGAGTTGGTGTAGGTTCTAATCAAATATTTATCAGTTAATTGATCTCTCGAGGCTGCTGACAGCTCCCTCTCCCTTACCCTCCCCCTCTGCCTCATCCCTCCGGCTTCCCTCACCCCTTGCCCTGGCCTCTGTCCCTCCCACCCCGGGGCCGCCTCCGCCTCCACCAGCTCTCACCTCCCCCAACCCACCCCTTCCTCACCCTGCACCCTCCCCTTCTCCTGCCCAGTAGGTAATGGGACTTTGTGGGCTACTTTGGGGCGGGGCGGGGGGGGAGTCCAGCAAAGGGTGTGCACTCATGAGCGTGTGTGATACACACACGTGTTTCCCTCCCACTGCCTGGAGCTCAGATGCTGCCCCCGCTTCGGGCTCTGCAGACAGAGGGTGGCACAGAATTTTCTGCTCGTGAGGCCACCGCTCAGCAGGGTCAGGGGTCACCCCAGGATTTAGGGGCAGTGAGAGCAGGGGCTAGCTCTGGGGATTTAAAAGGGCTGGGGCCCCTGGCAGAGAGTTGGCCTCAGGCCTCCTGCCACCGGGGAGCTGGGCAGGCAGACAGGTCGGTCAGTGGGGGACAGGGCCCTGGGCGGCAGGCAGAACACCCAGCCCAGGTCTTGTGCACACTCACCAGCACCCTCAGGAGGCCAGGCCTCTCAGGTCACCTGATGCTCTGGGTAATTGTCTGCATTCACTCCTGCCCTGGACGGCAGAGCCCACAGAGGCTGGGGGCTGCCCATCCCGCTCCACTCTCCGCCAGAGCCACGGGCCTGGCACCGCCCCCCCCCCAGACACCTGATAAACAGTTGTGGGGTGAATAAGTAGTAAGCAATGAAGAACAGAGCAAGACCGGGCATGTTCTCTGGAAGGAGCCCCCATCTCACTGGGGCATGGGCAAGGAAACAGACCTCAAAACATGCCAAGGCCAGGGTGACGGGGGCAGCGCAGGAGTGCGTGGGGTTCCTCCTTGGTGAGACTGTCCACGTCTGTGCAAGAGTCCTTCCACACTGGGGAGATACTCAAGTGAGGGATGGCACCTGTCCTTCCAGATGGTGGGGACACTTTCTCCCGAGGACACCCTCGGAAGGTCAGAGAGTGCCTCACCTGCTCAGAGGGGCTGCTGCTAACCTGCCCTCCCTCCCGGCATGTATCCTCAATGGGGAACAACAAGTGGAGAAGCCAGAACCCCACCCCTATTCCACGCCCCCGACAGCATGAGGACCCTTGTCCCTTCTCTGGGGCTGAGGGGCTTTCTCCCAGGGCTACAGCAGGGGTTCCCACAGGTGCCCAGACTGCTGCAGGAGGTCTGGGGTGCGCATTGCCGACAAGCTCCCAGGTGAGGCTTCTGGGTCCAAGCGCCCCATGGGAAGAGCCTCTGCCCTGCCACGTGGCTGGGACCCTACCCCAGGGCCCTGGCTTCTAAAAGCCCCTGGGGCAGCAGGCCTTCAGGGACGGGGTGGGGTCTTCTGGAGATCTGCTTGGGGGTCTCAAAACAGAGCTGGAACCTTCTATGCCCCACAGACAGCACCTCAGCTTCGGGGCCATGATGGGGGCCCTGTGGTGCCAGGCTCCCAGTTCTGTGGGATCAACTCTGATCATCTTCCCTGCAGGCTGTGATGATGTTCTCCTTCTCCTGCTTTACCAATGGGAAAAACCGGGGCTTGAAGCCTTCATAAGGGAGGAGGGCGTGGCTCTAAGGGACCCCCATGCTGCTGGCACGTTCTGTATCTTGACGGGATCAACTGGATAGAGGGTCCACGGGATCACATGGTGTCACTTCTTAAAATTGCGCGAGCTTAATGTGGGTCTGAAAGTATGCATCGGTGGTCTCAAGGCTGGGCTCCCCAGGCACCTCCAACGGCTCAGATCTGGTGCCCCATGTCGGGGAGTCCCCCACCCCCACCCAGAGGGTCTGGGCCATGCTTCTGGAAACCCCCGCTGCAGCCTGCAAGCTCTTGGAAGGGGGCAGGGTCCAGGTCCGCCAGCCGTCTAACCAGCCTGCTCTCTTTCCCTCGGCAGGGCAATCAGGACGCCACGGCTCCGCCTGAAGCGATGGCCCAGCCCTACCCCCCTGCCCAGTACCCCCCTCCGCCACAGAACGGCATCCCTGCCGAGTACGCACCACCCCCTCCACATCCTACGCAGGACTACTCGGGCCAGACCCCGGTCCCCCCGGAGCACGGCCTGACCCTGTACACACCAGCACAGACCCACCCCGAGCAGCCAGGCACCGAGGCCAGCACACAGCCCATCGCCGGTGCCCAGACAGTGCCGGTAAGGGGCCCCGCGAGCCCAGAGTTTCAGGGAGCAGTGCCCGCCCAGAGGGGAGGCTTGGTGGGGCAGTGAGGGCCCGCGCGGGGGCCTCCGAGATGGACAGGCAGGTCCTTGCCGCCTTGGAGCTCTTCATCTAACACCAGGCACGGGGTGGCCAGTGACCCCGATGGCTGCCCAACCCCCTGAGTGGAGCCTCCCAGCTGGGCCGCCAGCAACCCGTCCCTGGGAGGTGAGGGGAACAGTGTGGCCTGGGTCAGGGTGTCTGCACAGGCGGGGGCAGGGCGACGGGAGAGGAGGCTCAGGGCCCCTCGCGTGTCTCGGGTGGCAGGCACGGCGATCATTTCTAATCACTCGTAATCTACCTGCTTGGCTGCTCTCCAATCAGAGAGCCTCACTTATGTGGTTGTAATGTGGCTCCAAGGAGAAAGTGCTGAGCCACACACTTCCCAGAGGCTCCCGGACAGCAGAGGAGCGTGGCGAGGGGCGGCCGGCTGGAGTGGGCATCCCACGACGCAGCCCCTCCTGGGGACCCACCAGCTGGCCCCACCCCTTCCCCGGCCCTCCTCCCCACCACCGTCTCCGTGCGCCCACCCCTGCCTCGGCCTCTGGCCTTCGGCTGTCCCCCGCTGGCTCCCTCCCAGTGCAGGCTGGCTGGGGCTGGGCAGGAGGCCAGCAGCCTCCCGATGGGCGCCCCCCTCTGTGCTCCCTCAGCTGCCCTTCCGGCCTGGCTCCCGGGGGGCCGTGGGGACCCAGATACTACCCACCCTCCCTGTGTGGACAGCAGCCCCCCAAGCTCTCTGGGGAGAGAGCCCACCCAAGCTGCCCACTGGGCTGGACCGGCCCCTCATGTGGGGGCCAGCCAGTGCCCTTCCACCCTGTGTGGAGCGCCGCCAGCGAAGTCAGACCTTTCCACTCCCCACGTCCCAGTGTGGGGAGTCTCCCGTAGACCCGTAGACCCCCCCTACCCGGGGTTCCTGCAGCTGCAAGAAGCAAGGCCCGCGGGCCATCGAACTGGGAGCCGAACTGTACTTCTGGGGCCGCTCTGCCTCCGCTTTGGCTTCCTCAAACCCACGGCGTGGGTGTGCTCAGAGCAGAGCCGGAAGCGCTCGGCGGGACCGCATCACCGCCGGTGGACGGCGTCCTTCGGAAGGGCTCCGGCGGACAGGGTGTATCTGTCCGGACCTCCCATGACAAGGCCTCCTCACGAACAAAGGGTGAGGCTGGGAATTTGCCCTGGATCGAGCGCGGGAGACAAGGCGGTCACACTGGCAGGTGCCATGGGGGAGAAGCAACAGCGAATGCCTACGCCATAGAACGAGCCGGGAGACCTCCTGGACACCGGAGTGCCAGGTGCAGCCAAACCGCGAAGAGCATGAAGCCTTCCTCCCCTCGACCGACGGTCGTGGGGACCCTACCGTGCACCATGCACTGAACCAGCACTGGGGGGGGGGCGGGTACAGGGAAGAGATGACCAGCCCTGCCCTGTGGTGTGGCCACCAGTTCCCACCCGGCAGGGACCTAAAAGTCAACAGGGGCCAGTCGCGGCCTCCATGCCTGTGACAGAATATGGGCCCAGGAGGGGACTCAGGAGTCCCAGAAAGGATTCGTCCCAACTGAGAGGTGGGAGTCTCCCTTCTCCGGCCAAGTGCCTCCTGAGGAAAGCGCCTGGACCCAACTGCGCCCCAAGCCTGGTCAACGGGGCCGCCTTGTCCTTCCTTTGACCAGCCCGGGTCTCTTCAAGTCCCGCAAGCTCGTCAGGGTCTGTGGGTCTTCCATCCGGGGATACAGAGGAGAGACCATTCCTGGCCATGCCTGGGGCCAGATGAGCCCCTGCAGGCTCATCTGGAGACGCAGAGGCCGCGAAGACACCCAGGCAAAGACGTTGGCCACCACTGGATGGCATGGGCGCTCAGAGCCTGGGTATTGCTACAAGCACGGGTGTCCCCCCTCGGGAGGAGCCGGAGAGGGCAAGGGCACCCCATCCTGCTCTAAGATTCCAGTAGCCACCTTCTTCCCAGAGGAGCTGCCCGGTGCTCCCAGCTAAAGCTGAACACCTCCGCACCGGGTCAGCTGTCCCATGTCCCATCCTTGCAGGAAGGCTCCTCAGCGCACCGAGGCGTCGTCTCGGCCCTCCCCACCCAGGCAGCCTGGGGTCCAGGTGGGACGGTACAGGGCAGCAGGTGGTGAGGCCTACGGCTTCTGTCCAGACCTGCTGTCTCCTGCGTGTGGATTCTGCTCGTCATCTCTGGCAGAAGCGGCAGGGGGTGCCGTGTGGGACAGCAGCTGCTGATGGATCGGGGCCTTCCTCACTACTGTGCAGGGACCCCACGGGTACAGACTGGGGACCACCTCCCCAGAGTGCTCATTCACTCAAGGTCACGCAGGTCCCCTGTCCTCCCCGAATCCTGGGACAGCCAGAGGGGCTTCTACGCTCAGAAGCTACTCCCACTCTCCCCCTCTTCCTCTGCGCCCTGAACCTCCCAGGGCCTGTCCCCTGGGCCTCTCCCCTCCCCAGCGAGCAGGTGCCAGCGCACAGGGGACCAAAGGCCACACAGTGCAAGAGATGGAAAGACACCCCCCCGCCCCCCCCACGCACTCCCCCGCCACCGGGGGTGAGACCCAGCTGTGCCCCGCCGCCATGCTGGCCGGCCAGGGGCAAGCGGGCGACACCCTCGGTCAGCATCAGTGCAACAGGTGCGTGGCCGGCAGAGAGCTCTTAGAATATTCTGTCGCTCAGAGTCCGAAGTGGGAGCACACAGCTCTGCCCAAGGAGGGGCTGCCCGTTATGACAAAGACATCGTCATAAACAGACGGCTCGAGGCCACACGTGGAGATGGCCTCCCCCAGGCGCCCTGGCCACCCAGCAGAGCTGAGCCACGTCTGGCGAGCGGGGGATGGTCATTACATGCGTGTCCAGGAGCCTCTGGGGGAGCAGGCGTGAGGGGCTGCAGAGAAACATTTCCAGGATCTCTTCCTCTTGTCATATCCGCAAGCCTTGGATCTCTCCAGCCATGAGGCCATCCTGCTGCCCGAGCCCCCACCGGACCCCCCAGCCATGAGCCCCTGCCCAGGGCTCTCTGGGCCTCTCCCTGTGCCGAGTAAGCTCGGGGAGGCCCAGGCACGGGGGGCTGTAGGCTCGCCTGACAGTGGGGGATGCGCTGGGCACATCTGGACCTTGCCCCTGGTCCACCAGGGGTCGGATCCTGGCCTTGAATGGGGGTGGAGGTAGGGGCATGATGGCTTAAGGTGACAGGGACAAGGAAGCAGAGCCCCTGTGGCCCGCTGGGGGAGGGGAGGGTAGGCCTCACCACCACTGAGGCCGGTGGGGTCACTGTTGTCTTCTTTTTCCCTGCCTTTGAGCACTGGGGGCAGAGGTTACTTTAAAAGAGAAAGAGGAAAGACACGGGGAATCCCAGGGAAAGGCCTCACAGGCCGGCCCCCTCCCCAGCCCTGCCCCTCCTCGCCAGTCTGTTAACACGGGGGGTTTCTCCACGCATCTTAGGATTTTACAGTCACAGAACCCGTTCATCTGCCTCTGTCCGTAGCTGTGCTGGGGGGTGAGGGGGCGAGTGCTTGTGCTCTGGCCCCACTTACAATTCATTCCACAGGACCCCCCCAACACCCCATTCCCCCTCCTTGCCCTCAGCTGGCTCCCCTCCAAGGCTTCCATGGAGGGGTCTGCAGCACGGGGGGCGGGGTGCTGGGACCCCCCCCGGACATGGAGACTCACAGTGGGCCCAAAGCAGAAGGGAAACCCAGGAGGCCCCGGACGTTTGCCTGGGCAGCGGCCCCCCACGGCCCCCAATGCCCAGGGCTCCGTGGGTGCTCTGGGTGCGCTGGCCGAGCTGACCGCTGCCCTCTGCTGGTCCGCAGTCAGCATGACATGCCCCTCTCGGACTGAATTCCCAAATTCAGGGTGACTCCTTTAGTCACCTGCACCCAGGAGCTGCGGCGGGATTGGGTGTATGAGATGCACTGGGTGGGGGCATGGTGACAGAGGGCACCCTGACCAGGGCACGGGAAGAGCCACACTTTGTCGTAACCAGAGGGCGGGAGAGTCAGCAGGTGCACGGCGGGTTCTGCTTGGATTCAGGGGCGCGGACAAGCTTCTGGAGGTCTAGCGCAAGCTTGCTCTCTGCACGGAAGAGCAGGACCAAGGGAGAAGGAAAACGGGGGCGCAGGCGGGGCTGTTGGGCATTCGCAGGTCCCCGGCTTCACAGGAGGAGCTCCCGGGTGTCCCTGAGGCACCCAAAGGCGGCTGCCCGGTGTTGCCTCCGTGGACCTGCCACCCACCCCCACCCACCAGCGGTTCCTCCATGGATGCTCCAGTAATCTGGCTCCTGGGGCTGGTTGGTGACCTCCGGGCCCAGGTGCTGCATCACCTCCAGCCCCAGCCTGGGACGGGCATCACTTGGCAGCCCGATAGGAGGACTCCGAGAACACACGCTCGTCAGAACCAGGGCCACCCCGCAAAGGACGGCCACCCCACCCGAAGAAGTCATACACGCCCCAGGTGAACAAGAGGACCGTGGCTTCCAGCCATGCCGGGGACCGCACACCGTTGCTGCTTCCTGACGTAGGAGTGCAAACCTGAGTGTTAGGGACCTTTGAGCAGGTGCTCAGCCTCTCTCACCAGCCCAGGAGCTGATGACGTCCACTCCCCTCACCTCTGGCATCTGCTGCCTGGGAGCCTGGTCAGAGGCCTCCTGGCTGAGCGCCGGAATAGGGGAACAGGCCCCTCCTTCCAGAGAGGATGAACGGATGGCCATTGAGGGCAGCCACTCAGGAGTCCGCAGACAGACCTCCTGCCACTAGCCACCCTTTGGGCTCCATTTCCTCGGCCTGGAGGAGGCCTCGGGCACAGTGGCCTGGCCCTGCTCACCTGCCCTAATTCCGGGAGGCCTGCTGTGCCCATCAGCACTCCTTTGCCGGACCGCAAGGAAACCCACCAGAGAGTGGCTTAAGCAACGCGACGGTTCTCCGAGACCCAAGGGAAGCGGACTCTGGGCGTCTCTCCTCTGCCGGCCTGTCACTGCCGGTCAGCTGCCTGTGCTCTCAGGCCACGTGGGGGGCCACGGCCACCAGCACTTGCCCTCGTACAAATTCCAGCGTGGGCCTCAGGGGAGCCTCCCGCCCCTGCTCTCCAGGCGTGTCGGAGACACTCGGGACTGCTGTGCTGGAGCCGGGGTACGCCTCGTGCTCCCGGCCAAGGTCCCACCGTCCCAGAAGCAGACCCTGGACAAGGCTCCAAGTCCAAGCAGAGGGACAGGGACGTGATCCCAAGAAAACGCTGACAGAAGAGTGGGGAACTGGGGCAGGCGAGCAAGGAGCAGGGAAAGGCACGTTCTCAGCCTGTCGGCCCCCCAGGGACACGGGGACAGAGTGGAGCCCCGGAGGAGCCCCAGGCGTGGGTGCCGGGCCGCCTGTGCACCTGCCGTGTCTGTCAACGGCTGAGGGCCACTCCCGGACACTCGCACTCCGACAGGCCGCGCCAGCGAGCTGAGCCAGCACAAGCCTCGGGGCTGGAGGTGGGCGGTGCTGGGGTGTCCCCGTGAGCGCCCGGCGTCCGGGTCACGGTGAGCTGAGTGGCCACCTCGGCCCATCGTTGACAGAGCGCCCGCTGCATGCCTGTGGCACGGCGGCTCAGCAGCGACAGAACCGGGCTGACGGCCAGCCAGGTGGTGATGGCGGCCTGTCCCTGCAGAAGTCCACCCAGGGGAGCCTCACAGGCTTGTGGCCTCGGCGCCCGTCCTGGCCTCGTCCTCACGGGGGCTGTGGGCTCAGAGGTCCTTGCCTCGTGGGTCCCCCGTGCTCCCAGCACTTAGACCGTGTCCGGCCAAGGGCACACCCAGGACTTTGATGATCGTAGTAGTCGGTGGAGCTGAGGGACCTTTAAGGTCAGACCTGTGGACAGGGCCAAGCCGGGGGAGTGGAGACACCCCCAGGCCCGGAGACCTTGCCTCGTGGTGGCGGCCGGCGCAGCCTGTGCAGAGGCCTGCCGGTGGGACCTCTGAGGTTGCGAGGCGGTACCTAGTGAGAATCATCCGCCCAGAACCCCACCCCCCGATCCCAGCCCCAGGACGGGGAGGTCCAGGGAGTTGGGGGACCTGGCCTCTAGAGCCTCCCCTCCCGCGGGGTGGGAGCTGAGGGGCACCTCACAGCCCGGTGCTCTGCCTACAGCAGACAGACGAAGCGGCACAGACGGACAGCCAGCCACTGCACCCCTCCGACCCCACAGAGAAGCAGCAGCCCAAGCGGCTACACGTCTCCAACATCCCCTTCCGGTTCAGGGACCCCGACCTGCGGCAAATGTTCGGGGTGAGTGTGTGCGGCCCCCCCCCCCCCCCCCCCCCCCCCCCCCCTCCCCGCCCCCCCAGGATCCCACAGCCTCCTGGGACCAGCCCTGCCCTGCCCTGAGCCCACGGGATGGGCAGCCAGAAATCTGCCCCCCACACCACCCCACCTGTGCTCGGGGCTTCTTAGGGTCCCCGCGGGGCTGAGGCCTGTGCCAGACCCCATGTGCCCTCAGAGGCCACCTGGAGGGGCAGCTCAGTCCTCTGCCGCTCCTGCGTTCTGAGGGGCTGAGCACTGCACCTCTCTGCGCCTGTGTCCATGGGGCTCCCGGCAAATGCTTCAGCCGTGGGAAGCCAGCCCAGGCTGATTGGCTCCCTGGATTCTCCCGGTCGGTTCCTAGATTTTGTGCTTTAGGATTTTGGCCAGCTGCTGTGTGGCCATGAGAACCTGCAGGCCTTACATCCTGTGGCTACTTTCTTGCCGCTTGACCTGAGCGGCACGCCGGGGCTGAGGCCCACTACGTGCTGGGCTGCCCCACGGGCGGGGGCGGGGGGAGCGGGCGGCGGTCAGGCTGTGCGTCCGAGAACAGAGCAGCCACAGAAGCCTCGTGCGCCTGGCCCACGTTTTTTCCCGCACCCTGTACCCTCTTCCCCACGGCCGGCACGGTGCCCACCCTCACCCCTGCCACAAGCTAGGCAGGCTCTGGCCCCTGAACCCAACCCTGCCTTCATGCCACCCACCGCCCAGATGGGATCCATCAAAGGGGAGGTGCCCTGAGGGTGGCCTCGGATGGCCCTGGCACCCACACCTCACCCCAAATAGCCACCCCCCTTCTTGGAGGCCAGGCCCCATTGCACGTGGGGCTTAGACACAGTGAGGGGCTGATGGGATTTGGAATCATCAGGATTCAGCTCCTCTTGCCTGGGCCAGGCTGCTGCCAGCCTCCTCAAGCCTGGAGCCCCACTGAAAGCAGCCTTACAGAGCTCACCCTGACCGGGAACCTTGTCCCCATACAACGGGTACCAACTGGCGTCAGCTCATCTCGTCCCCACACTGGGATGTCAGCTCACCCGTCCCCACATCGGGGCTTCAGCTCACCTGTCCCCACACTGGGATGTCAGCTCACCTGTCCCCACACCAGGGCACCGTCCTCCCTGTTTCAGCCTTCATCAGAGTTGGGATTGCATTGCTGTCTTGCTCCGTGTCATGTCACTGCCCCCTTTGACACCGGTCAGTTACACACACTGGAAGCCTCAGGACAGGCCGCTGGGGACCCGATTGCAGGGATTTGGTTTCACAGGTCCACGGTCTCCTGTGACAGTGAGAGAGCCAGGGCTGCCCTTGGGGGTCCTGGGCCAGTGATGGGGCAGGAAGGGGCCAGGCCCAGCCTCGGGGCCTGCTGGCCAACACGTCCCAGACAGGTAGAGGGGTTTGGGGTCAGTGCTGTTCCACACCCCACATAGCCCAGCCCCGGATAACACAGGCTGCTGGCTGTATGGGGTCCCTCCACGGCACTTCATCTCTCCCAGGGGCTCCTGCCCCCCTCCCAGTACCTTACCGTTTGGGAAGAACCTATCCATAGTCCTTTACCCTTTAGGGTGAATTAGAGGTGATCCTCCGTAACTTGGGGCAGAGTCCAGGCAGGGACTCGGGGGGAGGCTGCCCCCTTCCCCGGTTCTCAGCCCCCACTTGGCCCTTAGGCAAGGAAAGCTCTCTTCATGAGAACGTGGGGAGGGGTCTCCTGTCCCCAGACCCTGCCACACCAAGAGCCGCTCCTCTTCCCTGCGGAGGGCTGGGTGGGACCGGGCAGCAGGTGAGGGTCTCCCGGGAAGCAGGCATGCCGGGAGGGGGGGGGGGGGGCACTCCTAACCCACCCTCCCCTGTCTCCCCACCCCCCTCTCTGTCTCTGCAGCAATTCGGAAAAATTTTAGACGTGGAGATCATTTTTAACGAGCGGGGCTCCAAGGTGGGTGCCGCCCAGAGGCCGCCACCATTACAGCGCCGGCTGTAGGTCCCGCCAGGCTAACGTGTGAAATGTGCGTTTCCTTCCTGGAGAGCTTCGCGCCCGAGGACCCCTGAGCTACACGGGTGCTTGTACTCCCCGCTCCTCCGCCCCTCCCGCCCCCGCCCCGCCGCCTGTGTTGGTGCCGCAGCTGCTGCGCTCCTTTCTCTCCAAGCTGCCGGGACCTCTCTGTCTGCGCCCGGGCCCGGGCCCCGCCCGCCGAGCCGCTCCTCCGGGGGGCGCCCCCTGCTGGCCTGCCCGAGAGCTGGCCCCGAGGCTCGAGGCTCGGGGGCGCGGCTGCAGGGTGGGCCGCGGGAGGGGGCCCGGCAAACCCCAGCCCTGCTCCCTGCTCAGGCAAGGGAAGACCCCCATGCAGGCTCCTGGGGGGAAGGGGGGTGGGGCTGTCCCCCGGAGGTCCTGACCCCCCCCCGCCCCCCTTGCCCCCCCAGGGGGCATCAGGGTGACAGTCCTGGCCCCTTGGCCGGGTTAACATCTCTCTTGGCGCTTTGGCCTGTCCTCTGGGAGGTGCCAGGCGGTCAGCTCAGGCCGGGCTCGGGCCAGGCCAGCAGCTGCCCCCGCCTGGGGCCCCACCCTTCCTGGGCATCCTGCTGGTGGCACCAGGGCAGGCCTCTGGGCTGCCGACCTCTCCTTCAGCTCACCTGACTCAGTCCCTCTCTCTTTCTCTCTCTCTCCCCCCTCCCCCCCCCCCCCCCCCCCACTGTCCCCCCCCCACTCCTCCTATGTTTTCCTTCCTCTCATCCTCTCTCTCCGTGTCTGTCCTTCTCCGCTCACAGGGCTTTGGGTTTGTAACTTTTGAAACTAGCTCAGATGCTGACCGAGCCCGGGAGAAGCTGAATGGGACGATCGTAGAGGGACGGAAAATTGAGGTGCTCAGATAAGTGTGCTGCGCAGGGCGTGCCCTTGAGAACCGCCACTGTCGCCCAGGTCCCCCTCCCCCACCCCTCGGCCACCCTGCGGAGAGCCGGGCCAGGGTCCCCGGAGCAGGGCGGCAGGGCGGGGAGGGCAGGGCCCCGCCAAGGCCAGAGCCCAGACCATCTCCTGCCGGCCCTCCTGGGCACCCAAGGGCCCCCTCCCTCTGCTTTCTGGAGGAGGCTCCCCAAATCTGGGAATCAGCCAGACCCTGGGAGGAGCCCCGAAAATCATGCGTTTGAGGCTTGGCAGCTCCAAGGACCACAGCCAGCTCAGTCTGTCCCCAGCTGGGAGGTGCTGTTAGTCCACCGGGGAGCAGCAGCCGCCCCTGTCCTCCCCTCCCCAGCTGCCCGGAAGGGACCTAGCCCCGCGGAGCAGCAGAGAGAGGAGGTCAGGGGCCCCCTCTCAACCCCCCTTGCCCCCCCAGGCTCCCCATCCCCCCCCCGCCCCAGTGCGGCAGCTCTGGGTATCTGGGAGCTGGGCTCCTGGACAAGCAGGGCAGTGAGGGGTGGCCAGAGAGGGGAGGGGGTCCGCAGCGAGTGCAGAAGAGAAGTGGAAAGGCCTGGGGGGGGGGGGCTTCCAGAAGCAGAAGGGGTCCTGGAGGCCCTGACCTCGGCCAGTGGTTCATGCCCAGTGGGCACCTGAGGATGCAACCTGAGGTCCAGGGGTTCACACTGCACGTGGGAGAGGCAGAATGAGCCCGACTCCTTTCCCAGGTTCCACCACCTGCCCTGTTCTCGACTTCCTTCCACACAGGCCTTCCCCCGCTGCCTTTCTACACCCCAGCCTGGCCCTCCAGGGGGAGGGTCTTAGATATCTGAGATGGGACCCACCCCCTTGGCGCCCGCCCGCCCCCTCTCCCATCGGCCTTGCTCCCGAGGGGTCCCATCAGGAACTCTCTGCTGGCCTCGGGAATGGCGTGCCACCCCCCTGAGAGGGGTGCCCACGACTGGGAAGGCCTCAGCAGCCAACAAGGGCACAGAATGTCTTGGGGGCCGGTCTGTCAGTTGGGCTGGGAGCACTTTGTGGAGAGTCCACCAGCTAGCTTCTCCAGTGGCCTGGGGTTGCCAGAGAGAGACTGGGGCTTGGTTTGTGGGAGCAGCACATGAAGGGCAAGAACCAGCGGGCCAGACATGGTGCCTGAGCGGGGGGCTGGGGGAGCAGTGGTGGCCAAGGCTCCCTGGAGTGGGGGGGCAGCACAGTGGAGAGGGGCGGCCTGGGAGGAGGGCAGGCCAGGGTGGGGGGCCAGGCGGGCAGCAGAGACTGTCCTGGGCCTTCCTCCCAGCCCCCAGCCCCCTCCACGTGGCCATGCACAAACAGTGCAGAGCAGGACCAGGGTGGTCAGACGCCTGCAGGGAGGCTAACGCTCCCCTCACGCTCACCTTCCCCCTCCTTCTCTCCGGGTAGGTCAATAATGCCACAGCCCGTGTCATGACCAACAAGAAGACCGCGAACCCCTACACTAACGGTAAGGCGCCCAGGACCTCGGGGAGGCCACAGGGGCGGTCGGCACGGACACGGGCCCTGGAGGAGCCTCGGCCGCTAGAGGCCCACCGCCCTGGATGCCAAGTGCCCCCTCATGTCCCAGCTCCGCTGGGGCCGCCCACCCCACCCACACAGTTGGCAAGACGCCTGGGCCTTCCCAAGCACACAGGGCACCCAGAAACCACGTGGACAGGCTTCGGGCACAGTGGGTGTGGCCACTTCCTGGATTATTACTTAGTATCTAAGCAGTGAGGGAGCGCCTGGGCTAGAGGTACTCAATCTTCGGTGAAAGTGAGGGTGATTAGGAGAGTTCCCCACCCCCACCGGGGAGACACTGGAAGGTTGAGGCCCCCACGGGAGCCTTGCCGTCCATAATGCGCTTCAACTGAGTGGTCTCACATGCGCCGGACCCAAGCAGAAGCCGGTCCTCCTTGAAGACAGAACCCCGGAGGCTGAGTGGAGGGGTGGCCCTCAGCTGCGTGTCTTGACTCCACCCGGCAACGCGGAGGGGTTTGCGTGTAGCCGGCAACGCCCTGGGGCCCCTTTGAGTTCATCCCCATCCCAGGGAATGGCAGCCCTGCTCACAGTCAGGATCAGTCTCCCTGCGGGGCGGGGGCTTGGCTTCTCACCCCCCAGCCTTCCTGTCCCTGTGCGATCGGCCACACAGGGACTCAGGTGACAGGCCGGCAAGGGGCAGGACATTGGGGGCGATCTGCCACGGGACCCACCAGTAGGGCCTCCCTCTGTGCCCTCCTGGAGCAGGACAGGGGTCTGGTTGAGCCACATTTAGGCTGGGTTATTATGCCTCCCATCCTGCTTTCCTGAGGACTATGAAAGCTCAAAGTTTTCCTAAAAATCTGGGGGTGCCGGACTTTGCCAGTGTCGTGAACTCCCATTGAGTGCTTGGCCCCGGAAGGCAAAGTGGTAGACAGACATGTTTGGAGGGTCAGGACGATCATCAGGAGCCAGATGCCCTCTTCACCCAAGAGCCACACCCCCTGCTGTCTGACCAGGCCTGAGAACGTCAGGAAGCATGGAATTCAGAACGGAGTCCACGTCTGAACCACTGCGTTCCTGGCCCAGGACGGGCACAGAACCAGCACTGCTCGCACAAGGATCAGCTGAGGGCTCACAGCAACAGTCTCACCGAAGCGTCCTCACTGGCCTGAGCAAGAAGGACAAGGGCCGCAGTGGGCTGGCCCCAGGTTCTCTGTGGGCTGACAGTGAAGTGCAGCATGCGGGCTCTGGTGGCCTGGGAGTGTGGCTTGAAGACTCTAGAACACTCCAGAGCCCTCAGAAATTCATTGGTTGTGGGGGGAGAGGGGCAGAAGTGTCCACCGTCAAGCTCACCAGGTTTGACCGGGTGTTAAGACTATTTACAGAAGAAGCAAAGGAGACACCCAGGAGGGTCTCCAAGCTGCCTGTCATCTGGGGTCCCACACAGTGAAATGGGACTGGCAGCAATGGGTAGAGGCACCAGGAAGCCAGAGTGACAGATAAAGACGCCCAGGATTCCAGAATCGGCAGGTGGATGTGCCAGGACCATCTCAAGAGAAGTCCCAGCTCGAAGAACGGACTCAGAAAAGCCACTGGGTTGGGGCCCAGGGGAGGTGGGCTCGGGTCATTGCTCTAGGACACTGCTCCGTCGTGGGTTTTTACTAAGAAGACTACGTTCTTGGGACTGGAGTTCTTTTTAGGCGATGAAACATTTCTTCCCTCCTGATCTGGGATTCAGAGAAGGTTCCAGAGTCTCAGCATGAATGTTCAGACACAGCCACACTGGTCAGGTGATGTTGGAAGGGGAGGGAAGGTGGCCACAGTCTCATGGGAAGTGGAGCATGGGCCCCCAGGAAGAACACGGTTGCCGACACTCTGTCCTGAATGCCTTCCGGCCACCCACCCAGCAGTGGGGATGTTAGAATCTGGGTATGAGGCCCACAGGTAGAGTCTTGACGCTAACGGCCTGGTCTGGCCCTTTGCCATGCTCTCCAGAGGTGTCTTGCTAGCTGGCCAGTGGGCTCAGTTCATTTTGTCCCTCCTCACAAAGTCAAGAGAGAGATGGAGCTGGGCCTTCAGGGCATCCTGCAAACATAAGACCAGGTACACTGCGGGGGCCAGGGGGCTGGGCTTGGTCCCAATATACCGCTCCCAGCCCATTCCATCTGAGCTAGCGCCTGGGGTCAGAGCCCCCTCAAAGCCAGCTGGTGTCCATCCCCAGGGGCCTCAGATGGAAGCAGGCTTCACTCCTGCACCTGGGTCCCTGGTGGGAGAGGAAGACTGGCCCAGAAGCGGAGGGCCCTGAGCCAGCGGCCTGAGCCGGCCCACCTGCAAAGGGGGAGAGGCGGCGGCTGCCAACAGCTAGGGGCCAGGGAATGGCCAGGAATGTGCGTTTGGTTTGGATCTGGCTCTGCCACTTGCCGTCTCTGGGCTGTGAGGCTGCTGCACCTCCCTGAGCCTCCACTTGCTCATCTGGAAAACGGGAGGGTGTGACACCCACCTCATTGGCTGGGTTTAGAATAGCGTGGCACATGGTGAGATGCTCAGGAAATGTCATTATTACCTCGAATCCCAAGGCCCTTTCCTCCCCAGGAAGCCGTTCCGTTGGCTGCTCTGGGGATGGCCAGGGCTGGACTGGGCAGTGGGGAAGGACCTCCAGCCCAGGACGGAAGCTGTGGGGCAGGAGGTGGGAGGGGTCCGCGGCAGAAGCCCCGCCCCTCACGGCAGCCTCCCACCCTGCTGGAAGGCAGCCAGGCCCCCACCGGGGACAGCTTTCCGATGCCTGGGCTCTGTCATGTGCTGAAGCGGGGGCGCCGCCAGACCCCTCATCCCGGCTGTGGGCCTGCAGATGTCCCTTCCTAATGCCGGCGGAGACTGCAGACTCCAAGCTGCCGGGCTGGGGCCCCGGGCAGGCTGGGGAGGGCCGCCGTTTGACATGAATCACAAAGACAGCCAGGCAGACGGGTCAGGAGTGACTTGGGCCCCGGCATTTAGGGAGCAGAAGGTCAGACCCGGTGAGGCGGCAGCATCCCGAGTGGGGCCGGGGTCTCCTCTGCTCACCCTGCCTGCAAAGGGAGGCGGTCCGGCCAGCCGTCTACAGAGGCCCCGCCTTACGTGGGGGAGGCCCCAGGATAGGGTGAGGTGGGGAGAGAATGGGGAAGACGGTAATTGGGGTTTTTTGCTTCTCTTCTAGGCTGGAAGCTAAATCCCGTGGTAGGCGCAGTCTACGGGCCTGAATTCTATGCAGGTACAGGCGGGAGCCCTCCTTCTGGGTGTGAAGGGCCGGGCGGGGGGGGGGGGCGGTGTGGCCAGAGGGCGTGGTCAGGGGAGGCGTGGTCTGCGCGTAGCAGGTGGGTGTGGCCGGGCGGGGGCGTGGTCGTGCAAGTGTGGTTGGGCGGGGCCAGGTGTGTCTGCGCCCAGGCCGGGCCCTTGGGCCTACCCTCGCCCTCTCTGGGCCTTCGCTCTCACCGCCTCTTCTCCGGCCCCCTTTCCTGCAGTGACGGGGTTCCCCTACCCCACCACGGGCACAGCCGTTGCCTACAGGGGCGCGCACCTACGGGGTCGGGGCCGGGCCGTGTATAACACGTTTCGGGCTGCGCCGCCCCCGCCCCCCATCCCAACTTACGGAGCGTGAGTACCTGGGGAGGCATGGGAGGGGGGCATGGAGAAAGGCCCAGGGGGTGTGGGGAGGGAGGCCTCGGGCAGCCAGAAGGGCTAGGCAGCTTTTCCAGAACGGCGGGGGGCGGGGGCTGTGGGAACCCCCAGACCTTCGCACTGCAGTTGCCCCCATATCGTACCCCAGCCCCACCCTGCCATGGGCACCAAGGGTCACTGGCATCTGGGGGACATTTAGAGCCCCAGCACCTTGCTGGATGATTTAATGGGATTGTGGTTGGCCCTGAAGCTGGGTGAGGGCCTGCTCTAAGCCCTCCCTGGTCCATTACCCTGGGCCCAGTGCCCTCCGCCCCTATGGGGGGGACAGCTGCCTGGGCTGGGGTGGGGGGAGGGTAAGCACCATGGGCCGAGGGGCCCCTGGCTTTGTGGGAGAAAGGAGCTGACCAGCAAGGGTGTTACTCTATTGTTATACCAAAACAGGGCGCTGGAGCAAACGCTTGTTAAAATGCCAGTCCCATGGGCAGGGCTGGCACCCTGCCCCCTCCCTCCTCAGCAGACACCGGAGCCGGCCTACCCCACCTCTCCAGCGTTCCCACCACTCTCTTGTCCGTTTGCTTCCAGGGTCGTGTATCAGGATGGCTTTTATGGTGCTGAGATTTATGTAAGTGCAGCCCCCTGGGGGGGGGGGGTCCAGGACTTCAGCTGATTTCCAGGGTTCTCCCCTCCCGGCCCCCCTTCCTCACCCATCCCTCCCTATCCTTGGGACCTGGGAGGGTGAGCGTGCCTAGGACACTGGGTCCTTGGGGACCTTGGCATAGCTGAGCCTGGGCTGTCTGTGCCCACGTGTTCTCCGGTCCACAGGACGCTGGGTGATGGGGGCAGGAGAGGCGACTCTCCTGTGTCCCTAATCACATTGAGTGAGCCCCCTTGGGCACCCATATCTAGTACAGAGGCCCGGAGAGAGACCAGGAGGCAGGGGCTCCAGGGTGGACCCCGTGGTGAGGTCCTGTGGCATCTCTCTCCCTTCACGGGGCTGCCCCTACTGCTTTCTCTAGCCCCGAGCCCCAGCTGCCGACCCCACCTCACACACATACCCAGCCCATCATGAGACCTTGCTTCCGTCCTGGGCAGTTGTCCATAATTCGACAGTCCCTTTGTGCCAGGGCCAAGACATGATCTGAGTTTGCCCTTGAGCCTTCTCAGTATCCAGGATGGCCCCCAGAGTCACCCATGGGTTCTTGGCACCCACTGGCATCAAAGGGGCTCACTGGGCTGCTGGCAGGTCTGTGGGCACTGATCATGTGCCAAAGCCATGAGCACAGCCAGACGTTATCATCGGTGCCCACGGATGGGACTTGAATGTGTGCTCCCTGCCTCCCCTCGAACCATGCCACTGACCATCTGCGGTCCTTAGGCCTCTGCTAGACCAGAAGCTATGTGCCCCTGGGCCTGCGCCAGCCAGTGCTCACCTGGCCACGGTAAAGGTTGAAAGGCTGCGTCAGCCCCACTAAGCCCCTGTGCTGTCTCTCCCTCCCCCTTTCCCTGCAGGGGGGCTACGCAGCCTACAGATACGCTCAGCCTGCGGCAGCCGCGGCAGCCTACAGCGACAGGTATGGCTGGGACAGTAGTCGGGGTGAAGAGGGACAGTAGGACAACAGGCCCCTGGAGGGGTGGGCTCAGATGGGAAGACTTACCCACGGCTCGGGCCTGGGGGAGCCTCCCCCTGGTGGCGCAGGGTCTGGACGGAGGGCGCTGAGCCAGCGAGCCCCCGATTTCTTTAATCACTTCCTGCTGGCATGGCTGGGGGAGGCCCTGCCACCCCCCACCGTTCAGTTCTCCTCTGATTCCCAGCCCAGGAGGCCTGAGCCCCTCCCCGAGCGCTGGAGGCCCCGGGTGAGCAGGGGAGTTCGGAGGCTCTGCTTCTGCCCCCAGGTGCCCCTCGGACCCCGCTCAGGGCTGCCAGGCCTGAGACCCCTTCACGCTGAGGAGAGGCTGTGAGCGCACCCTCCTGGTGGGGGGGTCTGAGGACACCAGCTGGGCAGCGTGGCCGTTGGAGAGCAGCCAACCTCCTGCCCAGCTTCAAGCACATGCAGAGGATGGCGGGTGGCTCCGGGTCGTGAGGGCAGGCCCCCAGGGCTCCCCCCAGGGGTGGCCTGGCCTGGCACAGGGGCACAGAGCCCCTGCTTAGGGACGTGTGGGAGTCCCTGTGCCTGGCACGTGGGCTCTGGCTCCCTCCTGCCCAGCGGCACCCTCAGACCCCCGCCGTCGCACGTGTTGGGGGGGAGTGGGGGTTTGTGGGGTGCACAGCAGGCCCAGCCCTGTCCTACAAGAAGCTGGCATTCCACACACACAATAAGTGGAGTAGGGGACACAGGGCCACTTCCTTCGTGGTGACCTCCCCGCCTGCCCCCACAGCCTCCCGTCCTGCTCTGAGCCTTTCTGCCGCGCTCGGCCCTTGTTCCTCGGGGCGTCCAGGTTTTCTTCCCCCCAGAGCAGCTCTGTGGGCACTCCTTCTTTCTTCCATGTGGCCCCTTGTCAGGGTCAGCGGACACTGGGAGAATTGAGAGGGTGCCCGGCTGTGTTCCGGGCCCTTCCTTCTAAACGGGCAGAAAAGATGGGGAGGAAGGGGGGTGGGGGGGGGGCTGGCAGGCGGGGCCACCCTGGAGGACGCTCACCAACTGTCTGGGAAGAGGCGAGAGACCTGTTGTGGCCCCTCACCTGCCCCCGTCGCCCCCCCACGCCCCCCTCCCGCCCTGTGCTGTCTCCCCAGTTACGGCAGAGTCTATGCAGCTGCTGACCCCTACCACCACACCATCGGCCCCGCAGCGACCTACAGCATCGGAACCATGGTAAGGGGGCAGGGCGGCCCGGCCCTGGGCACCAGCTGTGACGAGGAGGGCCTGGCGCCACAGCCAGGATGGGGTGGGAGGGAGGAGAGTGACCCAGGCCTCTGACCAGTGCCCGGAGGGACCAAGGCCTAGATGGAAGTTTGGGGAAGGACTTGCCCCTTGGTGCCCTCGGGGACTTTGAGGGAGGCAGGTCCGCCCAGATGGGCAGCTGCCCAGTAAGGACGTCTGGCCCTCTGGGGAGCACCCTGGGACGCCCGCTTTGCCCAGTTTTCTGAGGCTCCAGAGGCCAGCAGGGCCTCCGTGCCACTCGTGGGGCTGTGTCCGCCGCGGTCCCTCTGTGTCCTGTCGCCCCTTTTCCTCACGTCAGGGAGCGGGACGAGGCCCCTCTGCGGCACTGTGGCCCGCTCTCCCCAGGCCGCGTGCACTCCTGGTGGGCCCGTGGCAGCCAGAGGTGTGCGGGCCGGTGTGTCTGTGTGTATGTGTGTGGATGCTCAGCTGTGGACACAGGCAGGCCAGCTTACTCTCTCCCCCGAGACCTGCTTCCAGGGGATACCTGTCTCCTGTGCCCACCCACCCCTAGCCCCAGGGGCTGTTCGTGTCAGTTTTTAGCTAGCTTGGCGTCCAGCATCAAAGATGAACACATTTTCCCCCGGCGGGGGCGGGGGGTGAGGAGCAAGGAGGGAGGAGGCCCAGAGCCAACAGGGACTCACTGTTCCTTCTCCCTTGGTTTTGATTACTTCCAATTTTTGTTTTGACTTTTTTGATTTTTAACAAGTTCCCGGCATCCCCAGCAGCCTGCAGTCACCCAGATGGGGGCCCCAAAAGTGCAGTTTGTGGACCCCTGGGCTCCAGGGTCAGCTCGGCACTCTGTGCGGCTGCTGGCTAGAAGCTTGCATCCATTCACAGAGGGGCCCCTCTTACGTTCTCATTTTTATTTGTAGGATTTTCTTTTTTCTTTTTTTCCAAGTTTTTTCCATGGCACTTGCCATCTTTTCTTCCTTTTTCTGTTGAAATTGGTTGATGGGGAGGAGGTTCCTCCGGAGACCTCCCTGATCCAGGGCAGCCCAGGGACATGGGAGCAAGCGTGTGCCAAAGACCTTTCCTCCTCAGCAGGACGGAGGGCCCAGGCGAGGACCTGGGCAAAGAGCAGGGACCCTAGGGGGCCCCCTAAAGCTCCGAGGGGCTGGTGTAACCCTGGCAAGAGGTCCCTCCACCTTCCTGAGCCCTGCCTCCCCTCCCCCCGGGGCAGGCAGCCCCGCTGGGGCACTGAGACCTCCCCTGCCCCCATTAAGGAGAAAGGGGCCGGGGAAGGGCCAGGCCTGAGCCAAGAGAGTTGCCAAGAGATATCTCCAACCTTATTGTCCAGGAGCGCTGTGGCCCATGACCCCAGCAGCCCCCCGGCCCCCATCGTCCCCCCACCACGGAAGGACTAGGCCCAGGGCCCCCTGCTGCCATGAGAACCGGCACCCGCTCTCCCCAAGGCAGACCTTAATGAGGGGGGCAAAAAACGGGATTTAGCGATTTCTTTTTGGTTTTCCTTTTTTTTTTTTTTCTTTTTGCTTTTGCCCCCCTACCGAAAGGCGGTACTGATTGGCTGTTTGTCATCTTTGATGTTGCAGGCTAGCCTGTGCCGAGGAGGGTACAGCCGCTTCACCCCCTACTAGCAAGAGGGCCCAGCCCCTAGCAGCATTCACACTGACTGCCCAGTACACACCAAACCCAGCAGTCCAAAACCAGGCACAGCCACCAGGAGGACAGTGCGCCCCCCCCAGTCAGCGGCACGCGACGCCAAAGCCCATAGGGTTTACCTCCAGCCAGCTGGTCTCCCTGCCCCTCACGATGGCGTGTGTGTCTTTGACCCTGGTTACCCCTGTATGTCTGAAACCTTGCTTCCTATTTTGACTTTGTTGACGTTGTGCCCCCAAGCCATTTCAGGTACGGTATGCACACAGCGGGAGGGGCTAGCCTGGGCACAAGACCCTCCCCGAGAACTAGCAATAGAGCCCGCCAGGGCGACCCCCACTTCCCATCCCCTAGGGCTACGGAGCCACAGAAGACACCCCACAGCCACTGTCCGTCCCCTGGGGGTCAGGGAGTGAGGAGGAGCTCCGGTCCACAGGACGCGGGGTTTCCGGCCGAGACGATGCCCCCTTTCCGCCTTCCCCCAGCTGATCGCCGGTGTAGCCGCATCTGCCCAGCTCACCCCCAAACAGCTGAAACTAACATTTCTGGTTCACGTTTCTTGAGGACGCTTCCCGCCGAAGCAGTCACGAGCATACGGTGCAGGCGGAAACGGCCGCGGCCATACGGGCCTCAGGGCTCCTTCCGTAGCCTCTGTTGTAAGCAATGAAAGTGTAGGAAGAAATGCCCCCGCGCACCCCCACCAAAGCCGAGGGCCCCCAGCCCGCCGTGCTCCTTCCAGCAGCGGGCTCTCCCCTCCAGCCAGGCTCCGAGGACGGCACCTCAGCACCGCCCGAGATGGGGTCCCGGCCAGCCCGGCACCCTTCCCCTTCCCCAGGCTTGGAAACATCCTTTTATCAGGGTACATTTCAGAAGGGGTGAGCAGGTGAGGCACAAGGGGGAGGCCCATCGCCGGCCTTCTTGGCGAAACAGCACTCAATGCCAGCCTCCCGTCCGGAGAGGCTTGGTGCTTAGGTCTGCGGCCGAGCAGCCGCATGGTGCCTGGAGCTGCGCTGGGCCCTGGGGGGTGGGGGACATGCTGGCCGGGGTCCTGTAGCGAATGTCGAGACGGCCCAGGTAGCCTCGTAGGGTAGGCTGCCCGCTAAGGACGGCACCCTGCCTCCTCCGTTGCAGGAGGAGTCTCGGGCCGGGGAAGCCCAGGGCCCCTGGCGTGCCAGAGCTGGGCTTTGGGTGCCAGCTAGAGGGTGTGGGTCCCCCACCAGCCAGGGCACACCGGCTCTCAGCTGCCGGACCGGGCGGATCACGGCCTGGGTGCTGGCCCCTCACTTCCCACCAGCGGGAGCACCGCCTACTCGCTGTCTCGCCGCAGGCCCCTCGTGGCTTGTGCCGTGCGGTCCATCCACCATGCCCCGTCTTCGTCCGCCCAGAGCCAGCCGGGCCCCTGCCCCGCTCAGCTCTAGCAGAGCCTACAGGCTGCGCCAGCCAGCCCGCTTCCCTGTGGTTTCTGCTCCTGCTGCCCCTTCTTCCCCCCAACACCGGGCCCCCCGTTCTGCCCCAGAGGAGGAGGCCGGCTTTCAGTTCAGCTCACGCAGGACCACCGGTTCCCGGAAGCTGGGCCTGGGGGACAGGCCAGGGGGCGGGGGGGAGAAGTGGGGGTTGGGGGGCTAGGACTTCAGGGCAGCCCGGGGCCCCGGCACCCTCCCTCCCCACCCGGCACCCCATCCGTCCTCACAACACGCCTGCCGTTGCTTCGGTGAAACTGCAAGTCCTGCCTTTCTGTTTCTGTTGTAGTGAAAGCTTCCACCGTTTCCTTCTTGGACCATGAAGGGCAAAAACAAAAAACAAAAAAA